CCTACGTCGACGAAGGACCCACGGAGAGGGACTGATAAACATGGCCCAAGATCCCTAAAAGTGAACTCCTGACGATTGAAAAAAAAGACAACTGTAAAAGAGACAACTATTCACTGACGGCAATGAAAATGAAATTATGCTCTCAGAAAACAGCTATTAGCACTACAGCTTACCACAATATCGCTGCCGATCACATTCACTCAGGACCAGGTTCGGAGCCTGTGCAGCCGTACCGGGCGGTAGCACTTAGGGAAGACAAATTTTTTAGAATTTAGGGAGGCACTGGGCGGCAGAAGTTAAGACAGCAAAGACTGCACCGTGGGCAAAGAACCTACCATTGGCCCTGCGTACACTCCTTCATTGATGCTATTCCACCAGATGCTAATGTTAACTTTCAAGAGAACGATAGTCACCGTGCATAATTGATCTCATATTGGCTGAAGAGCATATTTCCGAACATAAATAGTGCCAACTCAATTCTTTGGTTTCAATCCTATAAGCACTTTCAGAAACAAAATTGAAACATAATTTCGAAACTTGATGACAAGAGTTTTTAATTGTTGATCAGGTTTATGCGCGTTGTCAAATGGTTGTAACTGTCGTCCTAACACGCCTCATGCATATCACTTTTGGGAAAAAAACTGAAGATCTGGCAAGCAAAAGGGAGGTTGTAATATTAAACAGACATTCCTTGGAGGCGTTGGCCGCATGCAGCTGGCTATTATCTTGCTCAAGGATGATCGCTGACAAATGCCATAGTTTTGGCAATACAGAAGTTGGCAGTTGGCAGGATCTTGTCCATAAATCATTGGGCTCTTAAAGTGCTGCGAAAGATCAGTACAAAAATTTGGTTATTATAGAATTTGGCTGCCTAGATAATAATGCCAGTATATACAGAGGTATGGTTGTTTTACGTTGACAAAGGGTACACAGCTCACTGGGACTTCTATGCTGAATTAAGGTAAGCCAATCTTCTTTCACGTATGAATCCCAAGCTAACGAAAATCATAATTCATCGCAGAACATGATCCAGTTCTAACCCGATACATTCGAAAATTATCAGCCGCAACACCAGAATAAACGTTGCTCTCAATGCCCCCTCTCCGGGGATCTACGTCGGAAAATCGGGAAGCTACTGTCTAAGATCTATACATAAGCAGTTTCGGCCACGTATAATCAGTCTTTACAGGACTAGAACCTACGTTCATTCAGAGGAATGGTTTCAGGACCATATGGCATCATTCAGGACCTGCAGGGACCATATGGCACTGTCTTGTCTGCCTATTGACTGTAGGTCGCAACATGATTAGATATGAGGCGTTTTCATTGGGTCATTGGCTCTTCGGTCCTCTGGTGCACTTAGTAGATGGAACAACACATCAAATATAATCATTGAAACCAGGACTGGTACCCAGCTGGAACTTTTATTGACTGAGCGTTATCTTTCGTCCAATGTTATATATATAAAGCCCGTAGGAGACCGCGGTGAGTTACGTCCGCCTGAATGGTCTCCTGCAGATCTGAGGATTTTTTCTGAAAGTTAATAATCCAGGGCAGGAGCTCGTCTCCAGTGTTCTGTTCTGCTCTCCATGCCTAGGAGTTATGGATATTGCAACAGACGCCGAAAATTCAAACCACCTTTCCTTACAACACTGTTTTTTAAAACTACACGTCTAGAGTATGTAGGTAAGTGATGCTGAATGGTAGAAGCTTTCAACTAATTTGCAGTAACTCTTGCTATCCCACGATCCTTCCCAGAAACTGCCATTCTAGCTCTGCGTCTGTCCTTTTGGTGATTCTGAATGCCTTATTGTAATACTTAGTAACAATACAGTTCTAACTGTATTACACTCTTGTCAGAATTCTGGTTCTCAGGTCAGACGATGCATCAGTAAGATCAGTCCGTTCCCATGAAAGTGGTAATGCAGTCACTGTCGAATTTATTCATTTGGATTATATTGAGTATTCGGATACATTCTCATTAGCTAATGCAAACAAAACTGTGAAATAAGTAGTCAAAGTTATAGAACGTTGACACGTTAGTCGATATGCTTAACTGAATAAACCTTGCTCAGGCAGTTTTAAGTAAGACAAGAGAAGGCTTATATAAGCACACTGTTTTTTCGGGAAATGAGCTTGTCCTCACCTACACTGCTGGCCATTAAAATTGCAACACCAGGAAGGAATGATGCGACGAACGGTAAAAGCACGTGAAAGGAAGAAGAGATTTGGTATGCAAATGGATTAGAATTTAAGCGCATGCAAGGAGGGAGAAAAGACATCTGACGTATTGCATAAAAAAAGTTGTATAGTGGATTTCTCATTCGGAACGCGCTTTGTACGGCCAGAGTTTTCTCAGAATATCGTGTTATGCCTCAAATATTAAGACGAAATTCTTACCAGCAAGAGTCGGAATATGGTAGAGGCAGGATTGTTTCCCATAGAGAGTGTGGATTATCGTTCCGCGATATCGCCCGTCGCACTGCTCGACATCCAATCACTGTCATGCGAATATATAATCAATGGGTTGCTGAGGGTCATACTGAACGGCATGCAGGATCTCAACGCCGTCTCCTGACTAACGCTCGAGAGGACAGACATATTGTGAGGTTAGCCTTGAAAAAAAAACCGCACAAACACATAACGAACCATTAGTTAGGAAATGGGTATGTTTGCAGTACGCCGAGTATCCGCTCGTACGGTGCTTCGACATTTGCAGCAGAGCAGTGCTTAAATTGCACCGGAGCCCAGCTCTGGTACTTCTCAGTTTTCAAGATAAATTACAATTCTAGCCGGAGTGCACCGGAGCCCTAAATAAGAAGGCTGCGGCAATTTCTTTTATGTAACTGAATAACAATTTCCGTAGAAATTTTAACTCGAAAATTTTATTTTTAGCAATAAAATTATATTAAAAATCGCTTATGACATTTTAATTTGTCGCTTTACAATTATTTTAGTTTTAATTATTTCAATAAATAATAATTAATTATCTAATAATTATCAATTAAATTATAATGAATTATATAATAATTGTTAATTGAATAAAATCTATAAACTTTAATTAAATAGCTATTAATTAATTTGATTATAATTAACTGTTTAATTTTAAAATTATTAATGAGTTTAATAGTCATTTAATTTATTTATTTACTTTTATTGCTCTTTGCTGGCGGTCTTCCATAGGGCTCCGGCACTTATAATTTTAAAATTTAAGCCCTGCAGCGGAGTGAACTATCAACACGATGACCGCTACTTTGGCTTCCCTTGAAAATGCAGCATAGAGAGAGACAGTGATTCTGGTGCACCAAACGACAAAGCTGGATAAAAGAATGTCACAATGTTGTCTTTTCAGACATGTCCCTGTTCAGCGTGTGATATTCTGATGGCCGTATATGTGTCTGGAGGCAGCGAGGAGACTGCACGTCGTATGCCATACATATCTTTTTGCAATAAATATCTTTTTTGTATTTGCTTTTCTTCACAGTGTTGCTATTTTAATGGCCAACAGTGTACTACTGAAGTGTTCCTAACTGAAACATGTTTCGTTGAAAACTGCGTCTCGCCTAGCTAGCGAGATAATTTTATACTTAAACGAAAATGTTTCGTTTGAAGCACTGTTTCTCGTTTGATTTCTCCAAAGAACCGGTTTTCGCATAAGTCAACTGATCAAACAAAGATTATATATTCGACGTTGTATGCATAGACGTTCTTTCTGCACCTTCCCACGCATTGACTGTATTCTCAAATTGCACATTAATTCTTCTAACACTACATTTCCTGAATGTTTACGCCAGCCCAGAAATTTTACGAGTCATTCATTTTAAGTAATATAGTCTGCTTCTTATTCGATCTATTATTTTTCTTCCAGTCTTTTTTAAATTGCTAATTCTTCATCGATTTAATACATAGCACTGTTGATTTATGTCATAGTGAATGAACTTCATTGCGTTTTTCTGTGATTACATTTCGCTTATTTTGTGACATTGCATCCCCTTTTTTTTACCAGAAACAATGAACTGTTTGTGTTTTCTGAAATATTAATGCTAGATAATTCATTGCTATGCAGCAACTTGATCAATATGGTTCAGAAGAACCGACTCACTTGTGCCAAGATTCGAACTTCAAATAAGCTATTTTTTTACTGTTATGCTTAAGTACATTAAGGACACTTGAAATCTGTCAGTCCAAAAGTGCTCTGATGTGGATGATAGAAAGCAAACAAAAGGTGTAAACCACAGGAATCTGTCTTTTCGGGTTTTATGTATCGAATCTAAGAAATAATTACCTATACTGCTGCAACATAAACACCACAAGTAACAGGTATAAAGTTGCACTATTATGAATATTCAAGATCTTTCCGCATGTAAAGACTCAGAATAAGTTAACACCACACTTATTGATATGTATAATGTATAATATAAGCAAATGATAATCTCCTTTTCATCGAGTTAGAATGTCATACAATAAACAGTCCATGTTTAAAAGCATCTAGCTAATTTCCTGGTCTTAATCCCATATCAAGTAGAGTTATACCTGACTTACGCAACTTGAAGTTACATGTTTTTTTTAAATCATTTTTTAAACTCCAATATATGCATACAACCAATGATTGCATAAGAACTCTGATGGACAAGTGGTATAAGCAATGTACTAACTTACATTTCACAAAAATTTAGACCAGATTTTATGACAGCAATGTAACTAAGAATGCTTTAGATGTATGGAAAAAATTTAATGTTGTAAAGGGCAAAATTATTTTGTTTCCCAGTTGCTTAATGATTTCACTCCTATATATATATACATATGCCAGTATTGGGCTCAAACACTACTCCTGCATGAGTAATGTCTACATGAGAGTGGAGTAGGTCAAACACTACTCCTGCATGTATATTTAGTTTATTAAATGAAAACTTTAGTTATTCTTCCCTTTTTTTTAAGTGTATTATGTAAATATAAATAAATATATATATATTCAGAAACAGGTTTGAAACATATTCACATAGATATTAGATTTTTTTATATGTACATATACAGTATTCTTTATTAGTTCAAAACTGAACTTCACAATATCATCTTCTAAGACACAGGTTCCCAAACTTTTCCATGTCTAGCAGTTCTAAAAAATTATATTCTTGCAGCCCCTAACAAAGTTTCTAGGGAGGGTGAGGAAAAAGAAAACAGTTATGTAATCAAATTTTAATAATAAACAAAAATAAAACATGGAACTAAAAAAAATATTACAAAATTTAATATTTGCATAAATTTTTCAAAACAATAATTAATAACTATTTCTATTCCTCTGTATTGGATATTTTTTTTCAAATTGTGGCACTTTATTGTTAATAGCAATTCGCATATCTGCTTGAGCATCCAAGCGATTTCTGAATTTTGTTTTGATTGACAAAAGAGCATACTTCACAAAGAATTCCTTCACATGCAGAAAGGCATCTTTTTCTTTTGTGATTGTTTTCATGTCTTCACAGAACAAGACATCTTCCATTATAGCAACACTATGCTGTAGCACCCAGACAGGATAGTAGTTAATGACGCTGCCTACCATACCAAAAGGTTCGAGTTCAAATCCCAAAGAAGGCATGGATGTTGTAATGTAAGTGTGTAATGGTTGTTTAGCAAGGAGCATTAAAAGCAGAAGGTGAGGCGAAATCCTTGAGAGGTTGGTGGTAGGAGACTTTCTGACCACATTCAGAGAGCATTCTTCAAAATTCCATTTTGGTGGAAGCTTAGTACTTAGCAAGGCCCAGCAATACCTACCCACTTAGATATACAGGTGCTGGTTTTCCTTCAATCTGTCAGGTACTAAAACAAGCTTATTTTTTTTTGTTGCCCATCAGTTATTATGAAGGGACAAACAAACATAAGTTTGATTTAGGTAATTCTGATTATAGATGCTAAAATATACATTATGAACATAAACTCTTTAGAACAAAACAATTTCAATAAATATCTATTTGATTTGAATATTCAAACATCATATATACTAATATTTTCAGATTTTTTTACCATACAATGTTTACAAGAGAGGATTCGGGGATTCGGGAGACAATTACAATTATTATTATTTTTACAAATCTCTGAAAGCTTTTTATCAGTTTCAAAATTATTTGAATGAAACTATTTTGAATTTACTTAAAAAGTCATATTTTCATCCTTTAACTGAGATGCTCACACGTATGTATTCTGACTCAACACAAATTCAAACATTAAAATAAAAATAACACCAGAAACATATATTATAAAATTTAATTCAATCTAATACATTATTACTAGATGTAAATTAAAGAGTATAAAAAATTCTAAAATACATATGCAAAATCTGATGTGCACATCACATTACTTATTAAATTATACAAAAACTGCAGATTTTGAAATTTAAAACACTGCTCAGTCTTTGTCACATGGGAGTCAAACTTCTCATAATTTCATTTTTTATAATGAGTATAAAAATGTCCCAGATATTTTTGCAGACATAAGGAAGCTGGAGATCGCATTAAAATAGATTTCGTTATTTGTCAAAATAATTTTAAAAAAAAGTTTTACATTGATAAAACACAACTATTTTCATCATTTAAAGCATTTCAATGATAATTGGGAGTATAGACTAGGGCCAATGATTGTGAAAATTAAGGCTAGGTAAAGGTGTGTGTGTGTATATATACACATTTGGTTCTGGCAATTACAATAAAAAGAGAGATGCACAACTATAGCAGTCCCATATACAACAAACATTCTACGGCTAATCTTTTTTAGTTATGTGAGATAAATACATATGTATGTACAGAAATCATTGAAAAAATTCCTTTTGGAAAAGAAGTCGTTTATTCTGTGCATATATACAGATGTTATGCAAAATTATGCATGACTGTATGCATGACTTTATGATAACTCTTATGACAATGCATAAATCGGCAGAGATTTTAAATAAAACTATTAATTTTTTGGGAATCTGACACAGGAGCCCCCCCCCCAAAAAAAATTTTTTTTAGACAGCAATGTTCAAAAGTAGAGTTTTATTTAAATTTTCTGTTAAAGGTTGTTCTCAAATTTTGTATTTTCTTAATACAATATTTTGATTTACGGTATAAAATGGGTTTATAACCAGAACATTTTAAAGTTCTTAGTCATTCTCAGTTTTACTTGGGACAACAAATTAACAAATGATATTAAAAAAAAAATGTTATTGTAACTTTTTTAAGTTTATTTTTTAACAGTTTTAAGATATTAATATATATTTATTTGGTTTAATAAAAATATACAGTTTAATTTAAATATTACAAAAGCCTGATGAACAAAACTGAATTAAGAGTATTAATGAACTATTAAAGCAACAGATTAATAACATATTTAATTTTATAGCATACTTCATTTAAAATCTTTCCTAAAGCAGTTTTGAATAATGAGAATAAATATGGCACTAGTTTCAATTCACTAAGCATCATCAATTTAAAATTTTTTTTTCTCTCACAGTTTTCCTCAAAGCAGCTCTTTTACATAATAGGAATAATTATGCCTACGAACCTATTGGCCTTTCTATACATCTTAACTTTTAATTTTTCTATTTTAAAAGGGTCAACTTTGTGGTAAACTTCCAATTCGTATTCACGACGCGAACGACCTAATATTAATAATACGACTACGAACAAAAGCTTGGCTACTTTTGAACAATGCACTTGGCTCTAAAATTTATTCTGGTAACCTTACATTGCATCAGCGATTTCGAAAGGCATCATGGGAAAAAGTACACATTTTTTGGTAAACTTCCGGTATCAGGGACTCAGTTATCTCTAAAATTCGTTAAAAATAAGATTAATGAAATGTTAAGGCCGGTAACGTAAATACGGTCTCACTCTTTCATTCTAAGGCAACTATATAGAGGAGCCTTCATGCGTTCTCCTACTTTCAGCACTCTTTTGCAACTAACTCAGAGCTATAGTCGAGATGGAAGAACAGGTCGTTTTTTGAGATCTACTCAACAGAGAGCGAGTCTGGTCAGTACCTACTAAGGATATAGGAGCCTTACCTCCTACATTCTTAGTCCTGAGACTTAATTTAGAAAATCTATCGATGACTGGGAGAAATCTATTTATAATACCAATAGCCTTGCTACGAATAGTGTTAATGTGATCATGCCAAGTGAGATTTTGATTGAGGATGATTCCCATGTAATTGGCTTTAGCAACAATGGGAACAATTTCGCTAAACAAAATTAGGTTTCTGTAATTGTTGTTTCTCTTAATTGTCTTGGGGAGAATAAATAACTGAGATTTACTGGCGTTTATTTTAACCCGACAGGTCTTACAGCAGTTTTCAATAGAGCTTGCATAGTTCTGAAGTTTAAAGATGGCATGTTTAGAGTTAAAAGACTTGATAACGATAGCCGTATCATCGGCGTAACAGGCTACTAATAAGTAGTTTACAAGACCTGGGTGAGAAAAATCAGAGGTATAATACAAGTAGAGAAGCAGACCGACGATACTTCCTTGGAGGACGTACCCTTGTCTCGAGATGACATTTCCATATGCGACAACGAATGTGTGCTGCTTGAAAAAGGAAGTAATGAGGAGAATCAGGTCCCGATTCAGCCCAAGTTGAACTAATTTGTAAATGAGCCCCTAATGCCAGCCGCGGTCGAAGGCTTTCGCCACGTCCAATATAAGGAGCGCAACACTCTGATAGTTGTGGAACGCCGCCCCGACGAATTCAGTAATTCTAACAAGCTGCTTTGGTAGTGCTGAGATTTTTCCTGAAACCATATTGATCGTCTGGGAGAAGGTGCAAGTAGAGTTCAAGGCCTTGAGGATGACATTTTCATAAATTTTTCCTAGACCTGACAAAAGACTGATAGGTCTATAGTCATCGGGATCTTTTGCGTTTTTGCAGGTTTGGGAAATCAAAAATCGTAGCTTGCTCCAGGGATCAGGAAAGTATCTGTTAGTAAGGCACGCATTCAGAAGACTTCCAAGTTTGGAAATCACATTATTTGGAAGGTTGCGCAGTAATTTATTGATAACACCGTCTATTCCTGGTGCTTTATTAATATTCAGGTGTCTGATGATGTTTTGGAGTTCCGATCGTGTGACAAAATCGGGAGCACAAGAAACAGAAGGTGCATCAATCCATGCTTGAACATAATCTTCAAACGTATTCTTCAAATTGTGTGTCAATGGGATCAGTGTTGGGAGAAAATTGCAATTCAAAATGCTCTGCAAAGACTTAACTTTTTCTTTGAGCGAATAAGCAATTTCGTTTTCTGTGTGAATAGGCATGGAGCAAACGTGCTTCTTAGGTTTTGGAGGTATTAGCAACTGTCGTTTATGTTAAGATTATCTATCACTTTTTCCTTGGAGTCATTAATAAGCTTTAAAATTTTTCTGTTTAATCTATTAATGTTCCTTTTTAATTCTGGATTCCATGTGCGATGCCAATTTTTAAGAAGCTTGTAGGAAGTCTCGTACAGTAGAGCGAAAGCTGGGAGACAGTGGTAGCATTACGGTAAGCTTTAATAATACAGCTTGTCAGATCATTGATAGCATTGTTAATATCTTGATGCGTGAGAAACAGTTGTTACAGTAAATCCATTTTATAAAGAAAAATTCTTCGAGTCGTGGAATATGCCAGTTATCAAAAACTAAACATTTACATTATTTTCATGTTGCCAGATTTTACGTCTAATAGTTTAACATAGTAAATCCATAGTATCAAAAACGCGACGGGAAAAAGCTGCAAGGGGTAAACGATAAAATTACAAGTACGGAAGAGCAACTGATGCTTTCAAGATCGCGGTTCCCGGATCTTCTTAAAGAATTACAAAGGAGTCCGACTGAGGGTCAGGTCGGAATAATTGAACTCTCTTTCATCCGCCTCCCACACTCCTTTCACCCTACTCTTTCTCCCCCCACCCGACCCTTATCAGAAGTCGAGTAAAAAGATGTATCTACATCTTGACACTCGAAAATAAAATACGATCTGTGTGTGGAATAATTGAAACTATGCGCAGAGTTCGAGGGCACTTTTAATGGAGCAGCGGTTCTTAACTCTTTAGTGGTCAGCACCCCCTTGACTTTGGAAAAAGCTTTTGCATCCCCTTGGAAAATGTGTATATATTTTTTATTTAAGAAAAAGAATTTATTGCATAAAATGCCGTGTTTATTTACAATATATATTACTTTATAACATAAAAAGCAATATTTAAATTTTAATGGCCAGGTTGTTGTTTATTCAGAATAATTCTATTAAAACGAGGCTCTTCTTTTGAAAGAGTCATGCGTAAGTCATCAGCTGTATTTAAGCAATTGGCTTTTGTTTCAATGAGGTGTATTATAATTTCTGGTATAATTATTTCTTTTGTTTGTTTTCCAAACTACTAAATCTAGCAAAGGAAAATTTAGTAAATTTCCATGTTCAACTTAATGTCTCCAAAGTTTTAATTTTTCAATAAATGAAACTAATTTTTTAGTAGCTGTTACGTTCTTACCAAATCCCTTCATTGAAGTGCTTATTTCATTCTTGTGGTTAAATATATCTGCTATGTTGGCTAAAACAATGCGCCTGTATTTCCAAAAGCTTCCACTAAATCACCATTTTGGTTAATAGGAAACTATAATTTTTTCGCGCTATTCAAAAACCCTGGTGTTAGAAAGCCACCGTATTTCGGTATGATACAGAAGCACAGTAGAAACATCAGCGATTTCTTTGCACAAAGCATGAAAAATACGGTGTTTTTTTTTTTTTTTTTTTAAAACGCTCGTCCTCGGCTGTACTTAACTACATGCATTGCTGTAGTTAGATATCATTTCAAATTCTCTGACAAAGTTTTTGATGCAAGTGCATGACGATGACACATTGAGAACGTTATTGTAACTTGCAGTATTTTTCTCGTCATATATGAAATAAACTCAGAAATTTTACCCAGTATTGCAGGAGCATCGTGAGTGCAAAGTGAGCCTATAATACTCATGAGTACTTGGTGTTTTAAAAAAAGTGCGTAGTCTTATTAAAATAATCAGTGCCTTATGTCGACGAATCAAGCGGCTCACAAATTAGAAAATCTTCCAGTATTTCATTTTCTTTAATGTTCGCGAAAATACTAATAACTGACTGCAATTATCAACATCAGTTGACTCATCCAGTTGGATGCTTATTTTTAAAGGGCCGGTTTTGTTATATTCTGCTATTTGCTGTAAAATATCAGCATTGAGATCAATGCGCGATCGAATCACATGATGCGATAGCTGAATTTGTTGAATTTTCTACAAATTTTTTGCCATTTCAACTGCGCATGGTATTACTAGTTTTTCAGCTATTGCATGGCTCTTATGTTTCTTAGTACAAAGTTATGCTACTTGATAAGAAGTTTCCAGAGAAGGCTTTTCGGCTGTTTAACGTTAAATTTCGTAATAGTACCACTGGCATCAAATCGTGCCCTTTTAGATTTCAAGATGTTAAGACTATATGCTGCAGATTAACCACCATGCTGATTACTAAAATGTTCTAACAACTTTGAGGGTTTAAGTTTGGAATCGGCAATGTTTTGCAACATACTGTAAAATACATTTTGGTCGTTCGGTATCATCTTTTTCTGTTATGCAAGTGAGTCCATAAGCAACATAACCGACTTTCCATTGATGCTTTATCGACATGACGAAGGTTACTACAATTTAAAAAAGTAAAGGAATTTTATATACATTTTTATCAATGGGTAAATTTATTTAATTTCAATAAATATTATATAAAATTAATTTAATATGATTTTAATATAAGTAAATATTGTTACAAACCTCGTTTACGTTCTTATTCAAGGTATGCGAACACGTCTAAACTAGTTTCTGTCCTGCCCTTGATAGTGTGACTACATTAACTGCATGTACTGACTATTGAGGACAAGCGAGTTGTGCTGAGAAATGAGGTTAGATTGTAAGATTCCCACCTTTAAGTTACAGCCAAAAATGAGGAATCTTAAGAACTGGTAAGCGAATAATCGCTTAGTTCAGTAGACAGAGAGCAGAACTCAAGAACGTTTAAATGCCCTTTATTATTCAAAATAAATTTAACAGTCGACTCCTTCTTGGAGTTTACAGCAAAGTTTCCACTTGGGCTGGAACTCAGGAATACTAAGAAATAAAACTTAACTAAAAAGATATAGCTGAAGCTATCAAGATTCTACTAGAGTTGGCCCCTTAGCGCTAACTAACGGCGACGCTATTTAAATCCTAAAGTACGGCCGATCCTGAAAATAGCTTAGAGAGAAAATAGCTTAAAAGGCGAACGCGTGCTGTTCAGAATCTCTGGCTCTCTAACGAAGTCAGCTGAACTTCAACTTTAAAGACTTTCTCTTCCTTCGTTTGCATTTAACTGCGATTCTAAAAACACGTTCTGGCCGGAAATTGTAATCTGAAATTAAGAAGCGACAGGAAGGTGGCTTAAACTAAGCATTAACTGTTAAAAACTTAGGATAAACCTTACAAGATTAAATGAAGTAAGTCCCCCTGTATGATCAGTGCAATAAAAATGAAGCTATGAAACGCCACGGTATGTCGTCACGACTTATCATCATTGCCGCCATGGGCTGGTTTTGTTTACATTCTAATCGGTGTTTTTATAACATGCACGATCGCTTCGTTCGTATTATATTTTTAAATTTTTGAAATTTCTCTCGC